ATAGGGGATGGGGATCCTAATGCTTTGGAGATTAAATGCCTGGACAAAGATTTTGGGAGGAATTCCGAGACACTCATCATTCCCATGTTCTTGTTGGACTGCTCCTTCAGAGATGCCAGAAAGACCATCCCATCACCCCCCTGTCCACACAGTGTTTCATCAGTGCCCTGCCGTGGCTTGGTTACAGGCAATAGGCAGGGCGACTGGGAGACAGGAAGGGCAGCCTCCATCTCCACCACGTGCCTCAGGGCTGGGCCACACCACATGGAGGAGCCTAAATGTAAACTCTAGGGTCAGGAATGATGCAACCGCAAGCGTTGTTGCAAGTTGACATGGCTGTCAGAGCTCCAAGAAACCCTGAAGAGAGGAAGAGCCGCCTAGGGGAGCCAAGGTGGAGCCTGGAAGGCCCAGCCAGGAATGTGTTTGGTGTGGGGCAGGTCGTCCTCTCCTCCCCCTGGACTCTTCCCGCAGCTGTGCCCTGAGGAGGCCAGATTGGATGGATGACTTTTTCTACCTAGGGTTTTGGAAGGCCTGAGGTTCTTGCAGAGGCCTTGGGGGAATTGCATGACAGAAGCCAGGTGGCCAGAGCCCTGAGTCCCTTGGGGCCAACGTCAAACAAAGTAGCTCCTCTCTTAGCTGATTTCCGTGCTTGATTCTCTGGGCTCCCTCCTCTCTTCTCACCACCTTTCTCTGCTCCTACCCTGAGCCCTGACCTGTTTCAAGTCCTTCCACAGCCCACCGCTAGACGGGAAATTATCAGGCCTTGGGGAGGGAAGGAAGGTGTTGTGATGAGCCATTTCACTCCTTGGAGTGGAGGAGGGAGGGAAGACTGCCAAGGTGGTTGGGGCACCGCAGGTCCATCTGCCTTTTCTTGCTTTCTGGCACACTCTGGATAGTGAAACTGAAATCTGATGTGCCCTCTCCTGAGCGACTCAGAGCTCTGGGGCCCTATGTGCCGTAAGAGCATCCATTTCCTTTGCAATGTTGCATTCAAAGCTCCTGATGGGATGGCAGTGTTCCTCCCTAGCTGGCCTCCGAGTTCTGATCCAGCTTAGAAGATTTCTGGTTCTGTGGCCTCGTCTTCCCTTGTAGTCAGGCTATGATACTGTCCATAGTGAGGAGGCAAGATAGAAGCAGGTCTTCAACAAATCAACCTTCAGTGGTACACAGTGACTTCCTCATAGTCCCTAGGCATTTGGACACAGGAACTCAGAAGGAACAGGATGCCTCCGTCGGAAGATAGAGCTTCCTGATGTCTGAGATCTGGTCTCACATCCTCCCTACCCTCCAAAACTTGCCATCCTGGATAGAATTCTAGGTGGAAGGCCTAAGGTAGGATACTCTTGGCTTCCAAATACAGGCTTATAAGCAGCGGAGGGGAGGCAAGAGGGTGTTCCTTGCCCAAGGCCTCCTCCCAAGGACTACCCCACTGACACAGAGAATAGCTGGTGGTCTTTCCCCACTGGTGAATCCTGGACAGTTGGGACTGATGAGAATGACTCTAGAAGGCTCCAGAGGAGATGCCTCAGAATTCTGAGTTGGAGCAGATGCTCCAGTCCTTATTCATCCCACCCCCATAGAACAAAGCTCATGTTTCCAGCTTTCAAGGGAAAGTGACCATGTAGTAGCTGGATCTACATGGTGCAGCACCAGGATCCTACTTCCTTGGAGATGAAGCTCAGTGACTCTCTGGGGTCAGGCTCTGCTCATGGGTAGTGACACACTGGAGGTGTCAAACAGAAGCAGCTCTGCCCTGGTCACCAATGCTATGTGTGCCCAGCATCTTCCACCTTATGCCTTGTCCCGGCTCGGGGAGAGCATTGTGGCCACACAAACAGCAGCGAAGAGTCTGGTAAGAAAACACCAAGCAGCATTTCCAGGCCGGCTGCCAGCGGGGCCCCCTTTCTTCATAGACTCCTGCCTACTGCTGAGTCTTGGGACAAATGCTGCTATATCCTGGGACCTCCTGTCCTCACCCTCTGGGTGGATCTCAGGCTTTTCTGCCTGTGACTCTTCCAGCTCACCGGATGCTTGGTGGGTGACGTAAACATCCCCAGTGATTTTCAAAAGCTGCCCCCATTTGTCTGCACTGTTATTCTCACTGGCCAGAGCCATTCTGGAGTCCATGAGTCATATTGTAGCCAGTTCACTCAAGAAAACGGCCTGGAAAAACTATACATTTAAGGAGCCAAAGGCTACCTAGGAAATTGTCAGTCAAGACTGCCGAGTTAACACAGATGGTGCTGCTTTGCTGCAGGAGCAGCCCAGCCCCTCCCGCCCACCACCCAACCTTCGATCCATTTGCAACATGCGCATCTCTGGGCTGTTTGGGTGACCAGTGCTTCCAGTCATTCCCCATGGTCACCAGTGTCCCAGACCAAGGTGAAGGGGGCGGGAGGGGAGCCATTACCGCACATGTGGGCCCTGCGAGCTCTCCAGAACCCAGGTTGGAATCCCAGGAAGGCCCATGTTCAGGTACTGACCAGGAGGCAGTCAAGGGGCAAGAACAAGGCTTCCAGAAACCCAGAGACCCTGCTTGAATCCCAGCACTGCTGCTTACTAGCTGGTGACCTAGTTCTGGGCCTCAGGGTATGAGGGGCTGGCCTTCAGTGACTTCAGGGCCTCTCTTCTCTCAACAGCCTAGGATTCTGTCCTGAGGAGTGGGAAATGGCCTATTTTGTCTGAGTACACGGAGTGTTTTTCAAAGCAAACAAACTCTGGTTACTAATTACCTGACCTACATTCCGTGTGACTGCAATGGTGGGGGACACATCTCAAATTTCTAAAGAGGAATTGGAAAGGAGATAATAGGAAGCACCCAGAGGTGAGACCTAAGGTTCTCATTGACTGGGCAGAATCCTGAAGTTTTGGTTCATGCTATTCTCCAGCAAAACCTACATTTTAGAAAAGCCCCTTAGTCTTTAAACACAAACAAGCACTGTCCTATTTTCTCCTAGTTATAAAAAATAATGTGAATTTATTATATATATTATATTAGTGTATTATATATATATATATATATATACACACACATATACACAATAGAACATTCTTGAAATTATAACTTAGAAAGTGAAAACCTGGAATCCTATAGCTGCTTCCTCCCTGTGGCCCCTGGTCCCTAAGATAACACAGTTAATAGTTTGGTGTATATACTTGTAGGTATTTTCTTTGTAGAAACCAAATACAAATCTACTATTTTATGGAAATAAAATTAACATGCTGCTCTGAAGGTCGCTTTTCACACTTAACCACATATTTTGGACATCAGTCCATGTTAGTACAAGAAGAGGCCTTCTTAATGCTTTGCGGGCTTCAGAAAAAGGAGGAAACCATGAAGTATATAAAGCTTGTTTTCTTTCATTTTCAATATTATTTCTGCTGTATTTAAGAACAGCAGAATATCTAAAATTAGTTTTCAAATACTTTAGATATTTAGTTAAGTAAAAAAACCATCATAAGAAGGATACTTGGATTGCTGCAGGAAATCAGTGAATAAATGAAAAAGACCCGCTTTACCATTCTGACCATTCCTTATTCTTATGTCCATTTTGTCTTCAGTTGGACTGGTTGAGCAATGGAAAGCTTTCTGTGGTAGCAGAACAATGGCCCCCAAGGATGTCCATGTCTTAATCCCGGGAACTTGTGAATATGTTGTCTTAGGTGGAGTGGGACTTTGCAGCCGTGACTAAGTTAAGGATCTTGAGATGGGGAGATTACCCTGGATCATCTAGGTGGGCTCAATGTAATCACAGGGGCCTTTATAAATGAAAGGAGGCAGAAGCGTCAGAGTGAGAGATTAGACGACACAACACTGCTGGCTTTGAAGATGAAGGAGGTGGTCACAAGCCACGGAATGCTGGCAGTCTGTAGAAGCTTGAAAAGGCAAGGAAACAGACTCTCCCCTAGAGCCTCCAGAAGAAATGCAGCCCTTCTGACACCTTGATTATAGCTTGATAAGACCCATTTCACACTTCTGATTTCCAGAACTATAAGAAAATAAATCTGCATTGTTTTAAGCCTCTAAGCTTGTGGTAATTTGTTATAGCATCCATAAGAAACTAATACACCTTCATTCATTCGTCTTGCATGCTGAGATGCATGTGGTCTCCCTTGGATTCAAACACAAAACATTGTGTCTGAAATCATGACACATCTGTGGTTCTAGATGACCAGGAAATAACCAAGTACTCAGTATAACATGGCCCTCAGGTAAGCCAGAGTCATTTTGTGGAAATCATTTTTGGTTATCAAAATCAAAAAGAAAAATGACAAAGGAGAGCCCATTGGCTTGGAGGAGGATTTGCATAGAGTCTGGAGGTCTACAAATCCAAGGTTTAAAAAGCCACCAGAGAGGTAGGTAGACTTGATATTCTCTCCCCATTTAATGGTTGCATCATGAAGGCCTTGCAAGGTTACTTGCTCAAGGTCACAGAGCAGGTGAGGGCCTGAACAGGGCTGAGATGGTCTCTTCCTCTCAGTTCTGTGATGGTTTCTTTTCTCTTTAAAGGGAACACCAGGCTTAGGGTACCACTGAGGGGTAACAGGAGGAGGAAGGGTGGACCCAGGTTTGCCCATCCCGCCAGGCCCTCCTTTGCAACCTTACCACTCTTACCCACCTTGGCTGGCAGCCTGCCAGATTCCCTGCTCGGGGAGGTGGGTACCTGATGCTGGTTTCCCGTGGTTCCAGATGACTAGGAGTTAACCCAGGCAGCCTCCCTGGCTAGCCAGGACTTGTGTTTGGCTTGAATTTCCCAATGTTCTCATGTGACAGATTAAAGAGGAGAGCTTGGCAGCTGTGTCCTCAGCTGTGACCAGCACAGACAACTTCCCAACTTTTCCTTTGACCATTGGAACCTCAGAAATGCCCGCAAAAGAGAAAAGTAGGTCATTTGGTATAAAGTGGGGGATTTATATCTAGGTTTCCAGATTTCTCTTGGACCTAGGAAGTGATCATAGGCCCTCAGCAGCTTGGAGGTCAAGGCTGATGGGCCCACACATAAACTAGGGCAGTTGTGTAATTCAGAGGGCATTTTCATCTCCACCCTTTTCTTTAATAAATCACTCCTAATGCTGGATAAGCTGGGCTCCTGATGGCGCTGTTCATATTCTCAAAGAAGTCCAGTTCAGCAGGAAAAGCTGGAGACGGAAGCCACATTGATCAGGCACTTCCTGCTCAGGTACTTTATAGCCATTATTGCCAGGGCCAGGTTCCTGTGCCCACCACCCCGCTCCCCTCACGGTTGTAGCAGGTGGAGTAAGCATACGTGGTTAAATGGAGATGAGACTATCTATCTACTGTGCCGTCTAACTCCCGGGTGCAGGCCGCTCGTGGGGTTGGAGAGCATGCGGAGAACTTGCCCGACTGCTGGCTGTCCGCACAGCCTGCTTTCCCCTCGTCTTGGGCCGAGAGCTGGCTCACATTTTGCAGACTCTCTTGCACTTAGGTGTGGCCACGTACGGCAGGCGGGACTCCAGGCACGCCTCTCAGGAAGGGCCTGCGGCCCACGGGTGGGGAGCGTAGTTGGTAGATAGTCTTCAGCGGTCAGCTCCCTCAGGGTCACGGTAACCTACAGAGAGCCACCTCCCCCAGTGTTGCACCCTTCCCAGGACCCGCCTGACTGCCTGAGGCATGACAGAGAGGCCTGGCCATTTTGACACAGAGAGGATAATCCTGACAGACAATATTCACTCCAGAGCTCCCCACCGGGTTGGCCATTGCATTGTCTGACTGTGCTCTGGCTTCTCCCTCTGCCCAGTTCTGCTTCTCCCCTTTTCCTTTCATAGGCACTGCTTTCCAACAACTTCCGTGTACCCCTGGACTTCAACGGCAGCGCCGGCTTCTTCAGAATCCAGCCTGTGACTCTGTGTCACTGAGTTCTCCCAAAGCAGTGTGAGCAGACGCAGTGTGTGCTGTTTTTAGGCCTGGCCCATGAAAATCTTCTGGGTGGATCTGCCATGCTTTCTCCTTCAGCCCCCTGGGTACAGACATCAGTGATGCCCTAAGGGGCTGGTGGAGCCACAAGGTGGAAATGGCCTGTGCATGATGACAGGGACAGCCGCCCAGCTGACCCGAATATCCTCCCAGAACTGTTAAGTGAGTTAGAAACTAACTTCTACTCTACAAAGCCACGAGTTTGGGGCATCTATCTGTTACTCTAGCTGATCTTGGCTGACTTATCTCTCCTCCGCTCCTACTTCTCCAGATCCGAATGGAGGAGCTAGAGAATGGTGGGTCTCATGGGCGTGGCCGTTGACTGAGGAGACTGGAAGCTCCAGTGCCCACTGTGGCGAGGCCAGAGAACCTCAGAGCACTAGAGAGCAGAACAGGGCCCAGGGCAGCTGTTCTGTGTATTAGAGAGCCACGCTCCAGCGAAACACGGCCCAGGGGGACGGGGCTCTCATCAATCAAAAAGCAGCTGCTCTCCCCTGGGGGCAACAGGCAGAGAGGGAGAGAAAGCAAGTCCTCCTTCTAACACCCCCCGAGCGGACACAAGCATCAGAGGCCTTTCGTGTGTGTGTTTGTGTGTACAGCATGTGTCAGGGTTGGTATGCAGGAAAAGAAGCAGGATTTCCCCAACAATGGAGTAATTCAACTGTTCCTGTAATTCAAAGTAGCTAGGGGATAGGGGACAGATGATAGGTGGAGAGGTAGATGATAGGTGGTATACAGACAGATATTAGATAGATAATGAATAGATACAGTAGATAGATGATGATAGGCAGGTAAGTAGGTAGATAGGTAGGAAATTGAGGCCCAGAGGCGTTGAGGTATGTCTCCATAGTCCCGTAACTAGTATGGAATAGAGGAGGATTCAAATCCAGGTCTAGTCTGACTCAGAGGTGGGACTTAACACCCGGCTCCATATCCTTTTCTCTGCTGAGGATGGCAAATAACATGTCTTATTTGCCCCATACACAGGGTTTCACTTGCCCATAAAACGGTGTTTGCTTTTGTTTTGTTTTGTTTTAAGGTTTTATTATTTATTTGACAAAGAGAGAGAGACAGCCCGAGCAGGGGCAGGTGGCAGGCAGAGGCAGAGGGAGAAGCAGGCTCCCCGCAGAGCAGGGAGCCCTATGTGGGACTCGATCCCAGGACCCCGGGATCATGACCTGAGCTGAAGGCAGTTGCTTAACCAACTGAGCCATCCAGGTACCCTGGTTTTGTTTTCTTACTTTCTTACTTGTAGCTTGCATTTTGTAATCTAGGAGTTTTTTGTTTGGTTCATTAAGATGGGTATTTAAAAGGCTGCATTCCCTAAATTCTTGCATGCTCAAAAATGTTTATTGTGGGGCGTCTGGGTGGCTCAGTCAGTTAAGCATCCGACCCTTGATCTCAGCTCAGGTCTTGATCTCAGGGCCGTGAGTTTAAGCCCCGCATTGGGCTCCACGCTGGGCATGGAGCCTACTTAAAAAAAAGTGTTTCTTCCTTTTTTGTTCAAAGAATAACTTGGATGTCTACACGATTTCTTAGTAACACTCTCTCAGAACTTTTTTTTTATACTTTTTAAAAAAAATTATTTATTTGAGAGAGAGACAGGGAGGGCACAAGCGGGGGGAGGGGCAGAAGGAGAGGGAGAAGCGGACTCCCTGCTGAGTGGGGAGCCCAACGAGGGGCTCCATTCCAGGAGCCCGGGATCATGACCTGAGCAGAAGTCAGACACTTAACCGACTGAGGCACCCGAGCGCCCCTCAGAACTCGTTACGGCTTTCCGACAGGTGTGCGTGCTGTTTGGGAGGATTATGGCATATCTGAAGGACAGGCATAGGTGCTAAGGTTGATTAAATTGGGTTGAACAATGGAAAGCCTCCAGCCTGCTGCCGTGTTTTGACCTCATGTTGTGGGCAACAGAGAGCCATTGAGGGTTTCTGAGCAATGTGGTGGTGGTAGTGTGGACATAGATGGATTGGGGAAGAAAGAGGCCACAGAAAGACCAGATTGGAGCCCACAACGTGAGTAAGTAGTCAAGGCCTAGACCAGTAAACATACACTGTGGAGACAGAATTGATGGGGTTCGGCAACCGCTTGGACAAGGGAGACCTGGGGTGACCAGGAAGGTGGTGTCATTTTTAAAACCAGAGAGAAAAAGTGGAGGAGGAAGAGAGAGATGAAGGACAATGGGAGGATGAGAGGAGAAGGGGAGGATCTGAGGTCTGAGATCTAAGTGGCCACATTTTGGAGGAGTAGTCAGGACCCTGAGGGGGGCAGTTGGGCCGCTGCTGAGATTTGGGAGCAGAGTTCAGAGGAGAGCTTAGGGTGAGGGACAGAGCAGACCAAGAAGGAGTCCCAGGTGTGATGAGTATGTCCAATACAGTTTCTTTCTCCTTAGCCATGTTTCTGGAAGGCGCTGTGAGAACAGCCTCTGACGTCTGTCCCATCGACACTGTTTTCTTCCAGATAGTGACGGTGATGGACTTGCAGCCCCTGCTGAGCAGGATGAACGTGGGCTCCGTGACACATCCCGCTACTTGCAACAGTTTCTCCTTTCTAATCTGGTGTGGTTTCCCCCCTTTCCTGATTAATATTTGCCAAAAGCTTATTGATTTTATCAGCCTCTTTAAGGGAACTGCTTTTGGGTTAATGTCTCAATTATACTGTTTTTATGCTTTTTAATTTATTTATCGATGCTTTTATATTTTTCTCTTTATTTTTCTTTGTTCCCCGCCCCCTCACTGAAATTTTATTTGTCGAATTAATGAATTTATCTTTTTTAAAAAATATTTTATTTATTTATTTGAAAGAGAGACAGCAAGAGCGAGAGATGGAACACAAGCAG